CCCAGCCGGCGCCCCCGAGCCAGGGCCACCCCCCATTCCCAGCCGGCACCCCCGAGCCAGGGCCACCCCCCCGGAGCCAGGGCCACCCCCAGCCGGCGCCCCGGAGCCAGGGCCTTACCCTCTTCGACTCCAGGTACTCCATGCCGCGGGCCACCTGGTAGCCGCAGGAGACCAGGTCCTTGAAAGAGAGCTGCTCCTCGGGCATGGCGCCGATGTCGAAGGTGTAGTCAGGCGTGGGGGGGCGCCGGGCACGCAGGAACTCCCGCAGGTTCCCCTTGGAGGCAAATTCCACCAGCACATACAGTGGCCCTGTGGAGACGGGCCATCAGGTGGGGCTTAAGGTCTCTGGGGCCTCCCTCTCCTGCCCCCCTGCCCGAGCACAACCCCCTTCCAAGGGGTGGCAGCGCCCCCCCTCCACCTCAAGCGCAGTCTGCTCCTGGGACGAAGTGGGAGGGTTTCTTGTTTTTTTTTTTCTGTTTTCCAGTGGGTTGCATGCAGAGGTGGTGGGACTCAGTTTCCCTGGGTGTTACTGGTTTAACGAGGTGAGGGGAGAAGGAGTTTGTTGTTACAGAGGACCGGAGAGGGAACTTGGGACCCCAGCCAATGGCCTGGAAGATGGACACCCCAGCGACCGGTGACCTGACGACCCAAAGACGCAGCGCAGGAGTCGCAGCTGGTTCTGGCCAGTGGGAGGACAATGGGCTGTGAAGAGAGGACCCCGGTGACCTGACCAGCTGGTTCCAGCCAGAGGGGCCAGAGGACAGAAGAGAGGAGAGGAGGCCCAGGCCACCCTGTTTACAACCCTGTTTCCCTGGAGAGAAGACAATGGACAGAGGGGGGGCTTGGGGCCGGAGATATCAGATGCCCAGCTGGGAAGCAGGGGGGCTCGGGGCTGGAGAGGGGGAGCAGGAAGAGCCCACCTGGATGCAGGGGAGACTGGGATGTGCTGGGCTGGGGAGGCCAGGCCTGAGGCTGGAGAGTTTCCTGTGCTGGGTTCAACGCTCAATAAACCCTCTTGTGTGACACTGGCGGAGAGTCGCTCCGGTCTGGAGAACAGGGCGAGGGGGGGGGGGATTACTCCCTTTCGGGGGGTGGAGGCCCCGGGGGTCCAGAGCGAGGGGACTCCCTGAGGGGCCCATGGCAGAGACAGACATGCTAAGGCTCAGAGAGGTGCGGCTCCAGGAGGTGGAGGGGTCTGACCCCGAGAGAGAGTGGACCCCCGAGAAGGGCTGTCGCTCTGAAAAGGGCACCCCCCACGGACAGCACGGGGCCAAGAGTGGACACGACCTGGGAGTCCGTGACAGCTCCCCCCCTGCTTTGAGTTCAGCAGCCCCCCGCCCTGATCCCCCAGCAGCCCCACCCGGCCCCAAGCATGGCAGTGAACCCCTCTCCCTTGAATAGAACAACCCCCACCCCAGCACAGCAGCCCCTCTCCCCGCCCCCCCCCCCCC